CCCCAAAACCCCAAAACCCCAAAACCCCAAAACCCCATATAAGAACAGAATTATTGAGTTCTATTAATATTTAAAGTTATGATCAAGAAAAAGTTAATTTTGTTATTCATTGTGACTCTTTTGAGGTGCGTACCATCATTTTCATTCTAACTTTTTATAGTCTAGCGCAAGCAGCTGATGTTTATGAAGTTAAGAACGGAATCTCCTTCTCAGCTATGATAGATAAGACGAAGAAGAACTTCATTTTCAAGGTGAATCTCCTGTATGGATACTACTTGGGTATCGGATTTGGCAAGAACATGACCAATGTACCTATTTTAGTTATTAATGATGAAGAAGCAGATAAAAAGACTATTCCAGTTCTCATGGATACTTATTCTAAGAAGTATGGCTACCCTCAGGCTAACCAAGAAAATATCTATCAAATGGTGAGAGCTGAGGCAATGGAGACTGGCTGGGATCTCACTATTCAGAGGCCAATCGCGTTAGAAAGAGAAGGAAGAGATGAGAGCATTCCTTTGGACGAACTCATAAACATGATTTATGCTTTCAAAGAATCTTATGGAAAACACACAAGACAAGATAGAGGATTCTTCACAATGGGGATAAACTCAAGGACAAGGATAGCTGAGTTTGATTCTACAATTGATGCCAATGACATATACTACAAGGTTCACGGGATTCTCTTTTATATCAGTTGGAGCATAATGAGTTTTGCTCTAATAGTTTCTGGAAGATATATGAAGCATCTATACAACTTTAGGATGCTAATTCATGCTTCTGTTGGCTTTTTATTAGCAGCAAACACGCTAATCCTTGTTCTTCTCTCTCTAATGAAATTCACAGTTAAAGGAGATGACTATGTTGCCCACAAGCCTATTGGCATTACTGTTATGGTTGCTTCAGTTGTTCAATGTTTTGGAGGAATTTCACTTAAAAAGTCTTTGACTTCTTTAAACTGGAACTCCAAATTTACAAAGAATGCAAAAATTGGACATCAAGTTTTTGGATTATCACTGGTGTTCCTCTCCAACTTTCAAGTGACTACAGGGCTGTATAAGTACCAGTCGCCTGTAAGAGACCTCATTTACATTCACTTTGGTGTCTTTATCTTAATGATCCTTGTGATTGAGATATCATTCCGATTGAGATTTAAATATATGAAGAAAGGATTTATTGTACATAAAGAGATACGCACCTATTCGATTGAAGAATTCAGAAGTCTTATAAAATCAGGAAAGAAGCTTGCTTTGTTCAACGATTACATTCTTGATCTCAAATCATTCGTATCTGAACATCCAGGAGGCTCCTTTGTTCTAAAGGAAAGTATCGGAAAAGATGTGGGCAAATACTTTTATGGAGTTTCTTCTATGGAAAATGGAGTAGCCCCATATGAACACTCTAGATATGCTGGGAGAATCATTGAGAAGTTGGTTATCGGACAGCTTGAGAACAAATATAAAGGTGAAGATACCTTGAGAACATCTCTGAATGAAAGTAAATCTTTGCACAGTGATAATCAGTCGAGATTAGGTAAGTTTTTATAGATATTTTGCTTTATTCAATTTACTAATGTATATTTAGTTACTGAAGTAGAAGAAAATTCACATACTTATACAATCAAGAAAAAGACTTGGATCACAAGTAATGTATCAAGGATATCCTTTCATTCCATTGATGCATCAGTTTCGAGAATTTACCCCGGCCTAGAGATGTGAGGAAAGAGTTATTCTATCACCTCTCTTAAAAACCATGTGACTCGATACTATACAATTTGAAATTGAATGGGATCTTTGATCTATGACGAATATATCAGATCTCTAGATGCTGCAATTGAGAGTAGATCTTATCAGAGAAAGTTCTCGACTATCTCTGACTTTAATACTAAAGAAACAGACACGCTTGAGTTAGTTCTAAAAAATTATCCAATGTCGACAAAAGGTATATCCCCTCAAGTTTTTAACGCAACATACCAAGAACAATTTTATCTCCAAGGACCAATGGGAGCTGGCTTTGATTACACAGAGGAAAATCTCCAAGGGACAAATGTGGTCTTCTGTGGAGGTACTGGGATTCTTCCTTTCATGGATCTCTTCGCTTATCTAGGCAGGAGATTAGTTGCTTCTCATTGATCAGACTACTCTATGTTTGCAGACGAGACAATCTCTAGTAAGGAATCACAAGCAAGATTCATTATCTATGCATATTTTCAGACTAGACAAGACTGCATTGGAATTGAAATGGTTGAGAAGATAGAGAAGCTCTATCAAAAGTACAATAAAGGAGAATTCTTTAAATTAAATCTGATCTTGACTTCTGAAGGGGGTCAAAAACTAGACAATGACGATATCATTGAGTTGTTGCAGGACTACTCAATGGTAGGTGGAGGTCTCAATAAGCTGCTAGTGTGAGGTCCTCCTACAATGAATAATCTATTCCAGAAATTGACAGGAAAAATAATTGAAAAGGTTGGATTAGATCAGTGAGCTGTCGACATTCTTTAATCTCATGAGATTTTTATTCTAATCTATTAATAACTCTCCAAATTCAATCATATTTTACATATTTGGGGTTTTGGGGTTTTGGGGTTTTGGGGTTTTGGGG